TCCTTGGGGGCTCACGGAGGTGGCAGGGCCGAGGGAGGCGGGCCTGACACCAGCAGCCACGGGTCCATGTGGGGGAGGTATTTATTAGCACCTGCTCTGTGCCGGGCTGGTCAGGATGCTGGAGACGCAGGGCTGAGCAGGGCTGGCCTTGTGCTTGAGGAACTCCTGGGTTGAGGGAGGGTGGCCCATTAGCCCGGAGGGATGAAGGAAAGCAGGTCTGCAGGAATCTGAAGGGCGAGTCTTAGTGGAGGAGGGCGGGGAGGGGAGGGCACCAGGAACTGGGGACGAGCCTGATTTTGGACCCCTCCCTTAGCCTTGTGGCACGCAGGACGGAGGACAGAATACACAGCACGTGGATTCACCCAAGTGCTGAGCAAGTAGCATTTAGAAACATCATTTTGGCATTTGAAAACAAAATTTTTTTAACATATATTTATTTTTGAGATAGAGAGAGACAGAGCATGAGGGGCAGAGGGAGACACGGAATCAGAAGCAGGCTCCAGGCTCCAAGCTGTCAGCACGGAGCCAGACACGGGGCTCGAACCCCCTGAACTGTGAGATCATGACCTGAGCCGATGTCGGGGCTTAACCAACTGAGCCATCCAGGTGCCCTGGAGTATTTTTTTTATATTCGCCTGGTCCCCTGGAGCTCCCTCTGTGTCTGTGTGTCTGCAGCCCCTCCTCCCCTCACCGGATTATAAGCACCTCGAGGACACAGCCTGGTTCTCCGGATGCTGGAAGCTGTGCCTGGCCATGCCTGGGCCTAGTGCCCCAGCTCTGGGTCAGACAGGAGAAGCCGGGCCTGCTCCAGCCGCCTGCGGAGTCCAGGGTGTCAGAAGCCTGGGGCTGCTCACCCACCGACCCCCCTCAGGGCCCGGGAAACCGGGGTGCTGGCGGGGAAGGCCCAGGTCACAGGGGGTCTCTGCATTCAGCCCTACCCCAAGTCCCCCCGCCGGCTCTGTCCATGTGTCTACAGAACAGCCAGTTTGGACACAGCTCGGTGGAAGACGCCAGGGCGACGATGGAGCTCTACCGAATCTCCCTGCAAATTCGGGCCCGCTGAGGGCTGCCGGCCCGGTGGTTGGGTGACCGCAGCTCCAGCCGGCCCCTGCCGCAGGGACTCCCCCAGGGTCTTCTTCTCTTCGGGACAGCAACTCCCCTGCTTTTGGAAAACGCATCTTTAGTAGTAAAATGGTTTATTTTTTCTGCTACTTCAGTGGCTACTCCTGTTGCCTTTTTTGGAGCCGGGTCACGGTGACGGGCCGTGGTCCACGTGAGGCTTAGACAACAGGGAAGACGGGGCTGGAATGGGGGGCTGCAGAGCATATGTCAGTCTCTTTAATAATCTGGAATCCTTGAAGGTATGCAGCTAAATAACGCCCTTGCCTCTGCCTCCCTTTTCCTGTTGCGCTTATGCCCAGGGGAGTGGCACCCGGCTCAGAGGTCCGTTCGTGTCATCTTGGAATGGGTGCCAAGGCCCTGGTGAGCCCGGAAGCCGAGGTACAGAGACTGTGGGGGGCGCTACCCGAAGTGACCTTCAGCAAGTTGCCCCTCCTCTTGTAAAACGAGGAAGCAAAGGCAGGGGACTCTGAAGTCAGAGAGAACGAGGCTGGACTCCGGGCTCTGGCATTTAGGAGCTGTGTGACCCAGAGCGAGTGACTTAATGGCTCTGTGCCTCAGTTTCTCAATCCGTAAAATGGGGGATTCTAACAATTCCTAGGGTTCTCGTGAGACGTTGCGTACAAAGCCCCTAGCACCACGCCTGTCATAGCTTGAGCACCCAGCAAACGTCAGTAACTGGGGGTTATTGTCTTGGGAGACCCCAGAGAGAGCAACTGCACTCTGCTGTGGGTCCCTGACCTCTGACGGAAGGGCGTGCGTGGCGTGTGGGGAGGAGGGTGCACACCAGAGCAGTCACTGCTCATCGGAAGCAGCAGATGCAGAGTTGGTACTTTTAATCCATGGAGGGGTCCCTCCAAACCGGAATTACCCTGGGGGGAGGGGGGCAGGTGATTCTGGCGCCGAGGACACTTCAGGCACCTGAGATGCTTTTTAAGCAACCCCAGTCCCTAAGCACCGTGTTCTCACACTTGACCAAGCATCGGCATCACCTGGAGGGTGCCAGACCCCACCCCCAGACTATCCAACTCAGCCAGACTGGGGTGGGGCCCCAGAATCTGCATTCCTAACAAGTTCCTCACTGATGCTGGCGGCCCAGGACCACGCTGTGAAAGCCACCGCTAAGCATCAGGTGATTGAACGTGCGGCCGCAGCTGAGAGCCACTGGCCTATGGTCCGGGTGCCACCAGGCTGGACCCCTGCCATCCCCTCTGGCTGCCAGCTCATGCAGAGAGAGGCCCACAGCCCTGAGAAATGTGTCCCAAGTGGCCCCACCCCGCAGATGAGGGACTTCAGGTAAGGTCAAGGACACAAGGGACTCAAATCCAGGCCCGACTGCCTCATAATGGCAGCGCCCCCCACTCGCACGCTAACTTCTGGAGACCTGGAGGACTCCCTCCCCTGTCTGGGAATGCGGGGAGGTGCAGCTTGCGCTCTCTCCTGCCCTGGCGCCCACCTGACTTCCAGGGCTGTGACCGGGCCCTCTGCTGGGATGATCTGGGGGAGCCTTCAAAGCAGCCGGGTGCGGCCGCCTTGCCTGGCTGAGACTGGCCAGCAGGTGGTGCCCTTGGGCCATCCGCTGGGCCGGAGGCCTCGAAGGCAGAACCGGCTGGAGGAACACTTGGGCAAGAAGTGTGAGGGGCTGTCTTTAAAAATGGTTAGGGGGCTGCAACGGTGACCCTCTAGGCCGCCCTCACTTAGCCCCTGAGCTGAGGCTCAGAGACGGGCTGGGACGGTGAAGCAGCCTGGCCTAGAAGGTGAGCCTGGGCTCTCGGACTCCCAGGTCAAGGTCCCTTCCACGCCTTCAGGCCTCCTTGGAAGGAGGGGTGAACCAGGACTCCCAGAGCAGCGGCACTCCCCAGGGAAATCCGTACCCAGCTTCCCGCTTCCGGCTGTGGTGCTAGGATGCCCCCCGTGGGGAGGTGCCCACCCTACCTCCCAGGCGGACGCCGAGGGGAGGGTCAGGACCCCAGAGGGGGCGTGTGCCTTGGGCTCTGGCCCCACTCAGGAGCCCCCATCTTCCGTACAGCCAGTTCCCCGGGGGGAGCGACACAGTCACACGGGAGACTCTGAGGTGGTCCTCCAGAGAGCACCAGCTTCAGAGTCAGGCTGACTTGGCTTGCGGGTCTCACCCCTGAGAGAGCAGCCGTCCCACCAGGTGGGCCAAGAAGGGGGTTGAAACCTCATTCGCAGGGTACCCAGCACCAGGCCGGAGCAGGGTGAGGAGTAAAATAAAGGCCCGCCTCTGAACTCCCGACCTACCTGGGTCCCAGCACAGCTGGAGTTCTTGCCTGCAAATGTCAGTGTCATTCGATGAGGCTGTGAAACGTGGAGGAGGAGGAGCTAATGCTTGCTGCGTGGCTGCTTTGCGAGGAGTTGTGTCGTCCGCTCCCAGTGGCCTGGACGAGCAACTCAGAAAGCGGAGCTGGTGAAAGCAGGAGCCCTGCTCTTACCCGGGGGCTAGAGTCTTTCTCGCACAACTTCGCCTCAGTCTCCTCATCTGTAAAATGGGTATGTTAGTCCCAACGCCCGTAGCTGTCCGCGGGAGCAGATAGGGCCGGGGAAGTGAGACCGCCCTGCAATCTGCCGCAGCCTATACAGGCTTCGGGTGGAATCTCGTCGCCCGGCAAGGCCACTGCCGCCTGCCCTTCTGCCCTCGGTTCCGGCAGGTACAAGTCAGGGTCCACCCCGGACACACAGGCAGAAGGTGGAGCTGGGCCTTGCCTTCTGCCCCCTCCTTCCTGAGCCCTTTGGCCGCCCCACTTTACTCCCCCGGCTAGTTTCCACTCCCCAGCCCTGCCCCAGCTTCCTTCAGACCCACTGCCGCTGGCATCAGCCCCTAGCGCTGCCCTCCTGGACCGGGGGTCGGGGGCGCCCGTTCTTACTTTGCCCCTTCTATCTCAGCTCACAGTGCATCTGCCCCCGGGCGCCCTTCCCAGACCCTAAACACCCTGGGGAACCGTCTCTGCTCCAGGGCAGGATGGTCAGGTGAGTGAAGCTACCGTCCAGTCCCCAGAGACCACGATAGAGCCCAGCATAATGACAGCTCCAGGAGAGGGAGGGGGAGTTTGCAGGGGTGCTGGTCTCTCGCCAGGTGAGCGCTCTACCTGGCATCCGGGCCAGGGCAGCTCAGGACATGTGGTCTCACCTGAGCCCGTCTCCTCCCGCCCCAGGTGGGCCTACAGGGTGAGCTAGAGGAGAAGAAGGGAGAGTGTGGGCAGGTGCTCCAAGGCTCCCAGGCGTAAACGCCTAAGGGACCAGTCCAGGAAACAAAGGAGGGACTCAGGCCTGACGTGCCCTGCAGCACGGCCGTGCGTTGATTGTGTGGACTCAGCTGATGGTGGCCGTGCAGAAATGCTGACCGGTGGAAACATCTTCAGGGCTGTGTCTGGCCCCCAGGCCACCAGTGTGAGACCTAAATGAACACCAGTGTTCATTTATTTATTTTTGAGAGAAAGAGAGTGAGCAGGGAGATGCAGAGAGTGGGGGTTGGGGAGGGGGGAACAGAGGATCCAAAGAGGGCTCCGTGCTGACAGCAGAGAGGTTGGTGCAGGGCTCGAACTCACAAACTGTGAAATCACAACCTGAGCGAAAGTCGGATGCGTAAGCGACTGAGCCACCCAGGTGCCCCGAGAATGCGCTGCCTTGAAAGCACTCCTCAGTGGGTTGGGGCCCCGATTTATATGCTCAGGGCTTGCCCCATCGAAGTTCCCACCCAGGATAAATCCAACCCCACTTCTACGGGATGACCTGTCTCCTACCTTTACATCATTTTCACGTCTCTCACTTCTACTACCCTGAGTCTTTTAAGCTTAGTTATTTGAGAGAGAGAGAGAGAGAGAGAGAGAGAGAGAGAGA